CACCGTTCCCGGCCAATGGGAGCTGCAGGAAGTGGCAGCAGGGCTGTGGGAAGCGGCGCGGGCCATGGGGACATGTTGGTTGCCGCTTCCTGCAGCTCCCATTGGCCGGGAACGGTGAACTGCAGCCAATGGGAGCTGCAGGCAGCTGTGCCTGCTGACGTTCAAGCCAATCAAGAGCTGTTAGAATCAATTAAGGCAGGCTAATCTGGGCACCTGGGTTTAAAAAGGAGCTCTCTTCAGTTTGTGGTGTGAGTGTGAGGAGCTGGGAGCAAGAGGCACAAGGAGCTGAGAGTGAGAGGGTGTGCTGCTGGAGGACTGAGGAGCACAAGCGTTATCAGACACCAGGAGGAAGGTCCTGTGGTGAGAATAAGGAAGGTGTTTGAAGGAGGCCATGGGGAAGTAGCCCAGGGAGTTGTAGCTGTCATGCAGCTGTTACAGGAGGCACTATAGAGAGCTGCAGTCCACAGGGCCCTGGGCTGGAACCTGGAGTAGAGGGTGAGCCCGGGTTCCCCCAAAACATCCCAACTCCTGATCCAACACAGGAGGAGTTGACCCGGACTGTGGGTTCCACCAGAGGGGAAGATCTGAGGTGAACAAATCTGCCAATAAGCACAGGACCCACCAAGGTAGAGGAGGAACTTTGTCACAAGATGTATAATAAATATACATTATCAACTTATATAATAACTATATGTGTGCATACATAATCATTACATATTAGTCTGGCTCTTTGGCAATGTATGTTGGTAAATTCTGGCTCCTTCTGAGGCCCAGGTTGGCCACCCCTGCTCTAGACAGTGGAGTTGAATCTATGTCTCCCACATGGCAGCTGAGTGCTCTACCCATGGGGGTAAAAGTTAAAAGGCAGGTGACAGCATAAAAACCACTTCCACCTTCTCCCCACCCCCACACTCACATTTTGTGTGGAGCAAGGCAGGTGCCTACCTCATTGAAGCAAGAAACACCTTAGGTGCCTGAGCCACCTGACATCAGGTGCTGGGTTCCCATCTGTGGGTGGCTAAGCAGACATAGATGCCCCTCTGCAGCCCTGATTTAGGCACCTGTCTGTGAGAGGGGGCAGGGATTAGGACACCCATCCTCCCTTGTCAGCATCTCCCCTTGTCTAGCTTAGACGGCTCCCTGCCTAGTGAGTTGGCTTTTCTGAAGCACACTGTACAGTGACTGATGCCCATGCATTGTCTAGGGGGTTTAGGCACCTGACTCAGTTTTGCAGAATGTGATTTTCTGGTTACCTACAAATTAGGCCCTGTGATGCTCAGCATTGCAACACCCAAATCCCTTCATGGCTTGCCCCCTGTGCAACCAGTCACCTCTCTGCAGAGCACAGCTGAGCAATTCCTGAATGACATGGGTGTGTACAGGACAGAGACAGAGCATAGGCTGGTTAGAGACACATCATAGTAAAACCCCAAATTCTCCTCCTAGACGTGCAATATTCCTGTTGGTGCTGGGAGGACACAACCAAGTCAGGAAGCAAATCCCATGACTCTGCCCCCGACAGCTGCAGCTGGGTCATTAAAGTGGAACAAACAAGAAGAATTGTTTGTAATGTTTTATTTACAGTAAGTAACTAAAGGTGGTAAGTAACAGAGCTGAGAAGGAGCCTTAATAACCACAGCATGGCAAGGAGATCCCCAGCTACTGAGAACAGTTTTCTTAATGGCACTAAAATAGCACCAATGGCCAGGAATTAATATAAGGAATTAATGAGTTACAGTCTCACTTTCAGTAACGTCATAAATGTCTCTGTTCCCTTTCCTGTCATACTGTCCTTTTCTATTAATTTTTCTAACCCTCACTTCTGAACCCTGTTTATTTTCCTGTGTCTCTCCCACTCTCCTCCCCTCCCTGTTCCATTCCCCACCCCATCCCCCAATTTTATCTCTTCCCCTCTTGCTGCCCCTGGCTGGTTCCCCTGCCAGGGATATTTTCCTGTCTCTTCTCTTCTCATTTCTATTGTCCACCATTTCTCCTGGACTCTCCCGTTATTCTTGTTTTATTTTCATTCACATTTTCCTTCTTGCTTCTTCTAATTCCCACTGGTTAAACCCACCCTGTCCCTGCCTCCCCCAGTGCTGCCAACCTCATGAATTTAAAAAAAAAAAATCATGAGACTGACCCAATAATGATTTTTTTAAGGTTATATAATGGTTTTTCCATCAATGTGCACCACTTACCCATTCCCCTCTACCCCCGCTCTTTGTGTGTGTGTGTGTGTGTGTGTGTGTGTGTGTGTGTGTGT